CCATTGCTAGAACAGTGTCTGAGAAATGATGGATATTTATTACTAAATGGATAAATCTAAAATAGAGTGACTTAGAACTATTCCTTTTCTCCCAAAGGCAAGCATGACAAGTTCCACTAAATAAGTTAGTCTCTAAAGAAGGTTATTTTGAAGATTAAAAGCTTATAGAGTTTTACAATTACTAAAGAAACCAGTTCTGAGGGAGGTTAACTCCAATCACACCACTTTAATTGCTATCCGCAACTTTATTCTTTCAAGTACCTAAATAATGCACAAATATGCTTATGGTGATTATCTCTTTCTACAAAAAAATGAAGATTTACACTTATTTTTCCAGAAATACTTTTGAAACAGTGTGGAAAGTGGATAGGATATTTGGTAGAAAAAAGCACATGTATCCCTTTCAGAAGATAAGAGAACCAATGGGTTTCAAAAGACTCAGTAGACAGGATATGGAGTTTGTTCTGAACTGTTTCTACTTCTGATATTGTTTTGGATAAAGATCTATGCTTCTCAAATGTCTCCTTTATATTAACTCAGATAAACACCCTACTCAATAATAGGAAATAAACTTATAGCCACAGAATAGAAAATGACTGCCAACCATAGACAATGAATGTACCACGTGAGGTCCAGCAGCAGAGCTTTGAGGTAAGTATCCACACTGAGGTCCTGGCTTTCTGTATCTGTATCTGAGGTAGCCCTCCTAGTTCTAATCCATGAATACTGAAATTTCTCCCATTAATCTGCATTATCAGGTCACATTTATTTACTTCCACACAAAAAATGTAAAAAGCAGCAGGTAAATTCATGCAGCATTAACACTTTTAGAGGCCATTTGTAGCACGACATAATTGCAACATCCATGATTTTAATCCATGCAACCTTATATTCTATAACTTAAGTTTTATTATTTCCAAAAGAATGAAGAAGCCTGGGCAATATCAAAAATAAGAATGCAGGGACTCTAAACAATTGCTCTGACCCAACTCCTTCCTGCCATTGACTATACCTGTAAAGTTATTTCAAAACAAAGTTAGAACAAAGCTCACCTAAGCCCTTAGACAATCCCTGGGATTATTCTAGCTCTGAATTAGGAACAGATTATAAACAGAACCTTCTAGAATTATATGAAACACCAATGAATTATGGCATTTCCACATCTTTCTCTTTTTTTCCTGTGCTACCAAATGTGATAATCCCACTGAGCACCTATAATTTTCATGTGTTATTGTGAAATATATTTTCTTCTCATCCAGAGAAGAAATCCTTGTTCAAAACCTTTTATGCCAACAAAGGATAGAATATTCACGGATATAGGCTGAATAATAAGACTATTTTATCTTTTGCAGACATCTTAAATTTAACGTTTTACCTAATGCCTTCATAATCTTAAATTCACTAAGGGAGAAAAGTAAAGACTGTATTGAACACTCTCAAAACTATTTCCAAATGACAGTGAATCTAAAGTTGCTCCACGTTTTTCTTTATAGAACTATTGCCTCTTTACCTGTGTTATATTTCCAAATGTTTACTGCAGCTTAGAAACATATGCTCTCAAGTCAATGACTAAAAAATCCCACTTTTATTTTTGGAAGCTTTAGTTCTACAAATTTAAAACAGACACTATGATAAGATACATTTATAAATTCTGCAGTGAGCATATGGTTTTTTCTCTGTACTAAGGACATCTTTTTCTTTAGCTACCAAAAAATCCTTCCATCAAAATTATAACACCAAATATTTTTATGTCTTTACTACACATAACAGCAATTCTTTTAGGAAACATCATTAAATATAAATCAACTCAGATAATATTTAACTACATAATAATGTTAACAATTCTTTGCAAAGCTATGACTACAATTAAGTGGTCTTGAGCACAACCTCCAATACAATATCTAGTTTTCCTTTTTACAATCAAGGTCTCAAGCTCACACTCAATCTAGGATGGAGTACTAGTCATACAAAATGCCTTCTATGGAATATGTTCTTAGAATTCAGCCTAGACTTATAAAAAGTAAAATGTCAAGGTCAGTGACCAAATCTTTGCATTTCAACAATACTCATCTGTTTTTGTGTATGGAAAAAAGATACTCCTTCAGTAAAGCCTACTTAAATGATAGTATGCTTCTAAAATAGTAGAGAGTATGTTTATAAAATGATACCATCATATATACATTAATCAAAAAAACCTCATTTTTATGATATAAGCTATATTTTTTATTTCATTGAAAAAAAAAAGAAGAAAATGAATGCTATTCCACATACTAGTTCTTCTTTGAAGAAGTAAAATAATGTGCTTAAGGTGGATATATGAAGAAAAACATGTTAATAAATAAGTTCTATTCTTTTTTACTGTGAATATACTGTATTTTACACTATCTATTACAACATAGATTTTATATATGCATTTTGCCCATTGAAATAAAACTTATACAATGCCTTTATTTGATAATATCTTGGTCATTCCACAGTTTTAAAACTATTTGGTTGCTGAGTGTTCATTGATATCACATATCAAAAATAAAAGAGGAATATCAATGCATCCCCAGCATCTTTTTTGGTCACCTCACACATCTCATTTGTGAATAAGTAATATTCAATGCAAATCAGTGATAAAATTTTCCCTGAGAATGCAAACGGTAACTTCTCTGAGTACATTTAAGAAAATGTAAGAGAGAGAAAAGCCTAAGTGTTGAATATGAAAGCAGCTAATTTAAATGTAAAAATTATCCCTTATTTGCAGTTTAAGTCTCTTCTCTAAATTCCCAAAAGAAAAGCATGGCCCAGCTGATAGAATGGTGATTCGATTGGATTTATAGAATATTAAAATGGATCTCTGGACTGTTGTCTCGTTGCTTCCTCCCTGCACCCTATAATTCCAATGTCCATTTCAAACCATTCTGCTTTATTTCTGCCAGATTCACATTCCTAGAATAGAAGCATAACATAGTGGAAAATAGCTCTGGAGCCAGAAAGACATGATTTGAAATTCTGGTTTCATCACTATCTTTTTCTGTGGCTTTAAGCAAATCAATGAACATTTCTGAACATCAGGTTCCTTCATGTGCAAAATGAAAATAATGTGTCAAATTGTAGATGTCAAAATTGTAGATAAGTATGCATATCACCTTGCACACAGAAAATGCTATTATGAGTTGCAAAATGATGATGATGATGATGGTAATCACGATGAAAAGAGGCACAGATACTCTATCTCTTTTCAGAAACATGCAATTGCCCCCATTGTATGATATATAAACACCAAATTTTTCTGTATGAATCTTAAGATGCTCTATATAAATCTTCCCTGCTCTGTGTTGAGTAAAATGTATGCTACCCAGAAAGGTGAATTTTTTTCTGCTCCAATCAGATGAATTACTCACCATTCTTTTGTGCTATATGCTAATTTGAGTTCAAACCCTTTCTGCCAATAACTTGTACAAAGCAGAGTATTCTTCTTGCTTTCAGCACCTATCCAAGTTCTGCTAATTTTTCAAGATTCAGCTCAAAAAGTTGAACTTCTCTTTAAAGCCTCTGGCATCTTTTTAGGACTGATATTTCTGCTACAAAGGAAATTTCGACATATTTTGGCATTGTGGCAGAATTCTATTGGTCTTGTAATATCAGCATAAGAGATATGATGACCTGAAATCATTTTTCATATTTAAAGAATTACAGCTGTTGTTTTGTGGTTTTAATAATTAGATAGAACACTCATAAATTATTTTGAGGCCATGTCCCTAGTAATGCCCAGAAACTGTGTCCCAGTGATCAAGCAATTATTGAATCCAATGACAATGTATGAAGGATGCAAAAGAGAGATAATGAAATAATCGATTGATCTCATAAGAACATATAGGTTTTTGGAAAATAAATCAATTTACATAAAGCATCTTTCTGAATATGTTCAAATAAGTCACACAAAACCTATAAAATATTATATCACTAACTTATAAATATTTATTTCTAATGTATTACTTTCATGAAAATATAAAATGGAATTCAAAAATATTTACTCGATATATAAAAATACTTATTGACAATAACATTTTACTAACAAGAGAATATTTACCGAAAAGTTGTAACAACACCCTTTCTCACAAAAATGATTAGTAAAAACACGTTCACATTATTTTAGAAAACAGAAAAACTCGTATTGATGTAAATAAGACTATCAATAAATATTGTATGTATTTTGATGCCTATGTTATGGCATATCTCTAATTATATTTTTTGAAGAATCTTTCTTATATTTATAGTTAATAAATATATCCACTTAACATTTAATTGATAGTTTATCTTTGCAGAAAACATAAGCAAATGCTTCTCAATGGCATCCAGAGATTTTTTTTCAGTTTTATAATTTATTTCTATATAGCTAAACATCATATTTTGTATTATGCACAGGATTTTACTACTATATTCTGTGTCCCTATCTGCTCCACACTGCAGGTAACATAAAGAAATCAATATTCATGCTAAGTGTGAAGTACATTTTTCCATTAATGAAGAGAGGAATTTGGCATGAAGACTCAACAAATGAAAAGAACTCAAAGTACATGAGGCATTGATAGGAGGGTTTCCATAACAATTTTACTTTTTTACTGTAAGAATATACATTACTTCAAACACAATGACTAATTCATATTCATTTGGAACTGCAAAACAGATTTCAATATCAACATATTCTATTACAGTCTAAATGTAGAGTTGAAATTCTTACCTGAGTTTTGCTTAGTATACAGTTATGTTTTAAATACAGGAAATGTATGACAAATTGTCAGGATAATAACACCACAGTGGAAAAATTAAAGGGGAAAGGAAGAAGTCACTTTAAAAAGAAAGTGCAAAATCCTTCTGCTTCCCAGCTGTACAGTAGTTTTGCTCTGCATCTTGTAAGCAACTGTCTTTGCTCTGAGAACAACACATGCTCTGCCCCAGCAGGAAAATATAGAAGTTAAATAGAAAACCACAAGGTTATTAAACACTCTTACCCTCTGGGCTTGCTGGGCTGCTCCAGCGTCTCAGTTGCAGCCACATGTGTAAACAACAGAATTTCCTGCATCCTTTTCTCATCTGTACAGTTCTGGAGTCCTAGCCAACAGGATTATTTCCAGCATTAAGGGCACTCCACACAAACTCAAAAAAGATTCCCATTGGACATGGAGTTTTATCGAAACCACTACCACAGCCCCCTCCTCGGATCATAATTGAGCCAACCAAAATAAAATCATTTTAATGTTCTTTAAGTATGGTTATTCAAAGCTTTCCATACAACCATTTGAAACCTGTACTGTGGATGAAAAAGAAAAAGACACCTGTGGCTTCATCACAATATAACTTATAATAATAATAGAAAAAAACTAAAATAGCAAAGCAAAAAAAAAAAAAGTCTAGAAAGTACCTATCTGCAAACTATGTAAAAGGAAATTATATTGCAGATCATAGGAACAATAGAAAATATTTGTCCAATCTAATTTGCATTAGATTGCAAAAAAAGCAAAAGAAATCATCTTTAATAAAAGATTTGAGCATACAAATCATAAAGCAAGAACTGTATGTTAAAACCCTTGATTGCAGCCACACTGGCAGGAATTGTGTTCTGTAGTCTCTGGGGTGCCCAGTGAAAGCTCTCTGGCCCCATTCCCTGGGGAAAAAAGAATATGAAGTACCTTTCCAGTGACATGATTCAGCTGTCAGGAAGTGTTTTGATGAAGGTTGGGGGGCGGGGGTGACAGATCACATAAAAGACAGTTTCTCTGGTCAAAACTAGCAGCACAAAACATCCAAAATAAAAAAGAAAAAGTCAAAAGGGTAACAGGATCAACTTGCTCCTCATAAGTAGCACAAAAACATTTGAAATTTAGGCAATAAATGACTTTAAATTATTTTTTTTTTGCCCAAAGAGTATCATTTTATTTTATTTTTAACTTATTACATGATAAAATTGACTTTTCCCTTTATTACAGTTTTATACATTTTAACACATGTATAGGTTCACGTAAATCACCACTCTAATCAGGATACAGAACAGTTCCATAACATCAAAAGCCTTCCTTTACAGTCACATCCTCCCCTAACACCCAATCCCTGGCAATCACTAATCTGTTCTCCATCACTATCTTTTTGTCTTTCTGGTGATGCCATATAAATATTATTATATAATACGTAACCTCATGAGATTGTCTTCTTTTCTTTTCTTTTTTTTTTATTGCATTTTAGGTTTGGGGGTACATGTGATGAACATGCAAGATGGTTGCATAGATACACACGTGGCAGTGTGATTTGCTGCCTTCTTCCCCATCACCTATATCTGGCATTTCTCCCCATGTTCTCTCTCCCCAACTCCCCACCCACCGCTGTCCCTCCCCTATTTCCCCCCAACAGGTCCCAGTATGTAGTGTTCCCCTCCCTGTGTCCATGTGTTCTCATTGCTCAACACCCGTCTATCATTGAGAACATGCGATGTTTGATTTTCTGCTCTTGTGTCAGTTTGCTGAGAATGATGGTTTCCAGGTTCATCCATGTTCCTACAAAGGACACGAACTCATCGTTTTTGATGGCTGCATAGTATTCCATGGTGTATATGTGCCACATTTTCCCTGTCCAGTCTATCATCGATGGGCATTTGGGTTGGTTCCAGGTCTTTGCTATTGTAAACAGTGCTGCAATCAACATTTGTGTGCACGTGTCTTTATAGTAGAACGATTTATAATCCTTTGGATATATACCCAGTAATGGGATTGCTGGGTCAAATGGAATTTCTATTTCTAGGTCCTTGAGGTGGCCATCTTCCTATATCAAGCCAATTAACCCCTTCACACTAAACTTAATCATGATTCTCTCTCCTCTATCTTTGAATTTTCCCTCTTGTCTAGATTTTCCTCATGAGATGTTAAACACCATATATTCTTTAGTCAATTTCATGTATTCCAATTAACTTTCAATTCAGTCATTTTCACATTCAGGTACCATTCTTTCCATCATGGGCAAATGATTGAAAGTGTTCTCCAGCCAAGAATTTTATTGAGTCTTGCATCTACCTGCTTTTAATGCATCAAAGTGACAACACACACACACACACACACACACACACACACACACACACACACACACACGTATGCCCATAAATGTTCTATTTATTTTTAATTTTTCAAACTCATCTCAATCCTTCTTCTACTTGACACCTACACAGCCTTTCATAATGTTCACAACCCTGCCCATATGAAGACATCTCTTGTCTTGTCACAACACTCTCCTGGTTTTTCTTTTGACCTCTTTTGCTGCCCCTCCCCTACCTCTTTGATGATGCCTCATCCTCCATTCATCCTTTGGTGTGTGTCAGGTATGTCTTAGATAAATCTACATATAAATCTGTATATTCTCTCTCTGGATAATGTCACCCATCCTCATACTTTCAATTACCATCTTTCTTTTTAGATGACTCCCATATCTACTTTTAGACCCAATGACTGTCTGAATCTTCAACACTCATATTCATCAGCACACTGTACTCCTCAACTAGAAAATGACACAGATACGGCATCAGCTTGTCTAAACTAAAATTGTCATCTCTCCATGGACCTTCCATGTTTTCTGTATAAATGCCAACCCAGTATTACAGCTTGCCAAATAATATCCTGGAAGTCACCTTTGACTCCTTCCTCTACTCTATATAAAATCCAGCACTAGTTTCTTTTGATTGTACTTCAATAATTTGCTCAGTCTTCTTTTTCCAATGCCACTACTCTGGCTCAGGCAACTGTCATGATCTTTCTAGATCTCTGCAGTGTCTCTTGGTCTCTTAAACTGTCTCTCTACTCCCAGCCTTCTTCTGCTCCATCCTTAACAAGAAAACAGTAGTCTATTTCTGGTACTTGTGGAATTGAAGTCTCTGAAGGTTTTTAAATATTTTTGTCAACTCCCTTCTTTGCAATACATTTGCTGCTCTTGGTTTCTAAAACACAACTTTTCTGGATTATTTTTTCATCTTTATGACCAAATTATATTTTCGTCTCCTCCCTTATTACTTTCCTCTACTTTCAATGAAGAAACACCTTCAAGAGGCCATTACTGGTCCTATTCTTATTTCACATTTCTGTCTAGGTGAGCACATCTGTTTTAGAGGCTGCTTTTGCCATACATATTTGGTGAGTTGAATTGTGTATTTTAAGAAGATATGTTGAAATCCTAACTCCTTGTACCTATGAAGATGATTATTTGGAAATATGGCCTTTGAAGATGTAATCAAATTACACTAAGGCCATCCTGGATGGGGTGGGGGCATAATTCAAGGACTGGTATCCTTATAGGAAGAGGGAAATTTAGACAAAACACACATGGGAGAATGCTGTGGGAGAGAAAGAGACAAAGATTGGAGTGATATGTCTACCAATCAAGGATTGCTAACAAGCACCAGAATTAGGAAGAATCAAAGAAGGATTCTCCCCTGGGGTTTTCAGAAAAAGATTATTGCCTGCTGACAGCTTGATTTTGAACTTCTGTACTTCAGAACTTTGAGATCAACTGTTTTAAGCCACAAGTTTGTGACATTTGTTACAGCAGCCCTAGTAAACTAATAGACATATAATTCTGAAATATAGATGGCCTTTCCTTAATAGTTTCTAAAGATTCTGTATTTCCAAAAGTCTAATGAAATATTCACTAGGAGCTATTTAAATCTTTCAAAAATCTCCAATCACCAAAGCTCTTATGTTTCTTTCAAAGCCTCTACTGTATCTTGTAATCTCAATCTTAAATAAATACACTACCACCTATCCGGTTTCTCAATCTAGAAACCTATTTGTTATTCCTAAGTTCTTATTCTTCTTCACCATTCAGATTTAATAACCCATCTGTAGATTAATACCTGAAACCTCTCCACTTTATCTCCTTCCACACCTTTGGATTATTTTGTCTTACCACAACATTTTTTTTTTTTTTTTTTTTTTTTTTTTTTGCTGGCAAGTTTACAAATTACCGACCAGTAAAATCTGACTATACATAGAGGGCATTGTCTTACTTGCAGCTTTCTCAGATGAAGGCTCTTTTTCCCCCATACAGCCCAAATCCATGAGGGTCAGAAAGTGGAGGAGGTGTCCTACTGCATCCTTATTGCCAAGTCTGGCTCACAAATTATTTGTTCATTGATACCATGGGACCTCTCAGAATCAGAAACAAAGTTATCTAGGGTCTCCATCCTAGTTTCAAAGGGTACATTGACACCATGGTTATAATACCCCTGTGTACACACACCTCCATTATCCTAACACCCCATATCATATAACAATCACTTGGGGGCATATGAAAAAGAGATGAGAAAATTCAGCTTTGAATTTTCCAAAATTTCTTGGCAAGTTCATAATCTCTTGAGGCACTCAGCACACATCAATAGAGGCTATTATTTTTAGTGGATTTCAGTTTCATTCTATATAGTACATCCTCCCTGTGGGTTCTGATATTTACCTACCCAGTATCCTTTCTCCCCCTTCCTCCCTATAAAACAAATACATATTTTTGTTTGGAGGAACAATGTGGTCAATTTTTTTGAAGCCTGTGTTACCAAGTCTCCTATTCAAATATATTTGGCTATGTGTCACAGTTTTGCCAGTTAAACATAAGTGGACACCTAATGGGCTTAGAAAAGTTGTATTTCGGATACCAGTCCATTGACTTCTTTCTCCTTTTTTATTCCTTGAACAAGACAAGGAGGCTGGAGATGCGGAAACTATTTTTAAATGATAATGAGCTCCTGACGTCATGATTCAGATGCAAGCCACACATTCAGAACAGCAGAAAACCTCTGAGCTTTGCTCAACCTCATTAGAGTTTTCAGTGATGGGAGGAGAAGAGAATTTAATCTGGTGAAACCACTGTCATCAGGTTTCTCCTATGTCCTTATTTATTAGAGTGGGAGCTAGAGGCCAATGGAAGATCGTAATAGTATCTAGCCGGAGAAACGATAGGGAATAAATATTAATCAAAACCGATTTACTCTAGATTCTTATCACCTAATTGGGAGGTCCAGAAGAAATCATGAAATTGAAAACCC